GTGTGTCGTCGCCGTCGTCGTCGTTGTGGTTGCTGTTATCTTCGTTATCATCATCGTGTCGTCGTTGTCATAGTCATCAATATTGTGTCGTAGTCGTCGTCTTTCATCATCGTCTTCAATCACATTTCATCATCGTCTTTGTCGTCGCTGTTGTGGTCATTATCACTGCTTCAACAGCAACGTCATGTCGCCGTTGTCGTCAACATCGTGTGTGGTCAGTAGTGTCATCGTTGTAGTTGTGGTCGTCATCTAAAACGTCACCACCACCACTAACATCATCATTATCATTATCATGAGCATTATAATGAACCTGATCATCGTAATCATCATATGATCAGCGTGATCATCGCCGTGGTCGCGTCCGCATCGCGTGCTTGCCTCCGCTCGTGATTTTGCAGTAAAATAGTTCCCTGCGACGGGGAGCGGTGAGCAACCGTAATCTTTTAATTGATATTTACATACGCAGTTAGTCTTGAAGCTATTCAGACGGCAAACAAATGATATAAGTACGTACCACAGTATATTTCGGCAACTTTGGATGAGGCTCGTTCTTGGGCTTCGACGAAATCCCGCTGCTGACCGTTTGGAAATCGGTCGCGCTTGGCACCCAGTAACGCCACCTATTCGCTGCACCTGCCCCGCAGTGCTGCCACCTATTTATCTCGGCTTCTTGTCTAAAGGGTGGTTATTACCCTGGAGTCGTCCTTAGTGTAGCCGGGACCGGATAGTCAAAGTTGAATAGCGGCACATTTTGGGTTTCTTGGTCATAATATTTGATTTGGAGGCGTTCAGGTCACCATTTAGCGCACGCCCGGGCTGCAAATGCACCGTGCAATTCCTCTGGCCAATGTATCACCATGCTCCGAATGACACGTTCTGGATTCTCGTTTATTTATTGATGCATCCTTTTTACGGAGAAGTGTGTGAGGTGGCGAAGATCGACGACATTCTTAACCTGAAGAAGCAACACCTTTCCACGCCGCGGCAAATGACTTCGGAAATTAACTTCAGGCTTTCTTAAGCATACGTTGTGCGACTTTCACGGGGTCAAAAGCGTCTAAGTTTTGTTTCTCTTTAACAAAAGACTAGTGCAGTTCCAAAATTGCTTGAAACTGAGCATGGTGATACTCCTTAAAGTGATTCATTTACTGCCCTGTTAAATAGCTTTAACATGATTGTAGCAGTAGAAGAAATTGGGGTTTTCGGGTGTTTTGTCATTGCGCGGTCATAAAACAACCATAATGTATGTCATGATTAAAGCTGTTCGAAAATTTCGTAGTGACTTTTCACGTGGCGCGAATGACTTCAGTAGGTGTAGGTATAGAGTAGAAGTTAACACGCGAGTGGAATTTGAAGACATTTCCCATGTGTATTGAGTCAGCGCCGATGAAATCGGAGAGCGCGAGAGGCGGTGAAGTCGGACAGAAGCACCGCAGACATTCAACACATAGCGCGGGACAAGAAGCGAGAGCACTACGTATAGTAAGTGTTGTGTTTCATTTCCGGCAGCGATGTGGCTCACCGCGACACAAAAGATGTGTGGCTGGCATAAACATGACCGGATCCGCAAGCGACTTGCATGACGTCTTCCCGTCTTGACGTCCGATAGAGTGGCTGTCATTCCTGGATAATCGGCTTAATTATGTTCAGTTTGTTGATGCCCACCGCATCCCATCTGCTCTGCCACTGGCCTTGCAACGAGGACGGAGTGGCTGGGTGAAGTCCGTGACGGGTGCTACATATACCTTGGTGCATGGAGGAAGTGCAACACGCTTTGCGGCGGCGGCGACAAGCTTATTTCCAGCTACTCCCCCGAGGCTCGGAATCTAGCGCAGTGCCGTGATCTTCCCGGCCTGGTATGGGGAGTCAAGACGAAATAGAGTGTCCGGTATAAGGGGATTTCCGAAAGTAAAACGTCTTAATGCCATGTTAAAAGAGTTTGACTAGATGTCAATGACGCCAGGTTGATTTTTTTCATACAAGTGCTCTAAAAGAGTGCATGCAGAGATTGCAAAGGCCACGGTTCATCTCCGCCACATCCCGGCAAGATGAATCGCTTCCATGAGCTCGGGGAAAATCAAGAGCGATTGTTACGGATGTGTTTCTCAAGCAGGCCGTGACGTCACGTCATTTCGCCCCAACAGCTGCTGGTATATTTTTCAGTTCGCATTTCTGCACTGTTATTCGACATACTTACTCTCATAATAATTTACCTCGGTAAAGGACTTAACATAAAATCAGTTCTTTCAGTACCGAAAACTGTGTGCATGAATTATCACCCACACCCAGGACGTGGAACGGTGATCAAAACGCTTTTTCGGGGGGGGGGGGGGCATCCTGCACAACGCAGTGAGCTACGATGACTCACGCTGCAAAGCGGAGAAGATATCAGGCAAATGGTTTCGGCTGGAGAGATTGTGACGTCAGGAAATGAAAAAAAAGCGCAGCGAAAAACGGCAGCAAGAGCAACGCAAAGCATTCGTTGAATGGTGTAACGATCGTCGTATCGCCCATGGCAACAGAAAACTGTATGTTTTGTGCAACGGCCTTGTTGCCGGCGCAATTTTTAAACAAATACATGATGAGCAAGCCTTGACCTGGCTTATTATTGATGATACGAAGCAGTGTTCCTGCCATTACGGCGGTGCATCAGTCAGATGGGATTTGAAAGGGCCGAAAAGGCAGTTCATCCGGGACCCACGTGGGCCCAAGATAAGCATGCTGGCTGGATTAAGGCTCATCAAGGCTCATTATGGGCTGCAGAGGCCGATTCTGACCCGGAGAGGGCCCATTCGGACTAGAGAAGGGCCCACTCTTGACTTGAAGAGCCTATTTTGGACTGTAGAGGGACTATTCTAATCTGAAGAAGGTTCATTTTCACTGGAGGGCCCATTCTGGCGTTTAGAAAGACCATTTTGACCTTTAAAAGGTATTGTCTGGCCTGTAGCGGACCCATTCTGACATGTAGAGGGCATATTATGAACTATGGAGGGTCCATACCGTCTCAATATTGAGGGCCTCATTCAGGCCTATAGGTGACCATTCTGGCCTGTCAAGAGCCCATTTGACCTAACGAAAGCCCATTCTGTCCCGTAGAGATCCCATTCTGACCTGTGGTGAACCCATTCTTAACTGTAAAGGGCCCATTATTGACTGAGGATTACCTATTCCGTCATTCAGAGCGGCTCATTCTGGCTCTATCGGCCCATTCCGACCTGGGGAAGGCCAATTATTAATTTAAAGGGCCTATTCCGGCTTGTAGGGGGCCATATCTAATCTTGGGGAACATTGTGATTTTTTGGAGTGAGCCCCCCAACTCGAATATAGTTCCCACGTCCTTGCGTAGACGCAATGCTACTTCTACTGCTGATGCTTGGCAAGGAGTTGATTTAGCCTTGTTATTCCGAAACACTAGGCGCGGAAGGCCTTTCTTAGATGCGTGAGGTCCATAACATAACTAAAATAAAGTGGGCAAAATCCGTGAATAAATGGGTTTGAGAAATGGGATGGGTACTGCTCATGGGATACCAGCCCCACCCCTGGAATGAAGAGCGGAAAATTCGACCCCTGTCGATGCGATTGTTTTCGCGATTTTTTTTTTCAGAAAGAGCGTGACTCATTTAATTAAGTCCATCTTTTCTCAGACAAAACGCACGAAGTCGACGAAGTCCACCTCTAACAACAGGGAGAAAGCGGCGCACTTTTGACACAAGGCGCGACGGTTGAGTCCGCATGTTTTGACGCATGGTTTTACACGGCCTTGCGCGGCGCCCAGCGCTGCCGGGGGTGCGCCAAGGCCTTAAAGGCTCTGCGCGGCGTTGAAGGTTTAGATTGGCGTGTACTGATGCCGAACTTTCGTACCGGTGGCGAGTGGTTGGTGATGGTGCGGGCCGCGGGCTGGGCGTTATTGGTGATGTGGGAATGGGAGCTTGTTTAAACGGATTGTGCTTCGTGTTATGTGTGTGGGTATGCGGATGTGTCAATGAACATTTGTGTCTTGCGCTGCAAGACCTCCTGCACTTTAATTGCTGTTTTTATTGCATGCAATACTGCACATGGTTATAAAATGGGAATGTCTTAGCAAAATTTTAACATCTTTCTTTCAAATCCACATGTTGTGATAAGAGCAGCAGGCATCCATAACACTGACAACACAATGCTGACATTGAGGCCATCCTGCCAGATCAGTGACAGCAATTGCCTTTCCACATTAGAACTCAGGCCATATTAATTTGTGCTGAATTTCCAGTTTATTTTACTTTTTTGGCATATTTTGTCTGAACAGCAGATACAACATGTAAATGTGGATTTGCTGAAACTTGTAACATCATTATTCTAGCAGACATCAGCTTTTTTGTGACATTAGTGTTTGTTATCAAGCACCAAACTGAGTGCTTGCCCTTGCATTGTGCATGGGCTGAAATCATTGCAGTTTTGTTATGCAGGACATGTCCAGCCTAACTTATTTTTTTGCACTCTGGGTGCTAGGACCCTGGAGGCCTCTTGCTTGCTGGAGATAAGCACATAAACATGATTTGGCACAGCTGCTCTGCCCTCAACTTTTTTTGGCGTGCTAATTTTTGTTCTGTTGTGTTTTATGTCTAATTTTGTTTCTTAAGTTAAGTTTTGCAGTGATAGCTTGTATTTGTCAAATAATCTTTTACTGTACCTGCAGACTGGGATAGGGTAGATGAATACTTGAATGGAACTGGTGCTTTTAACCTTAGATGGAGCATATTATAAGGCTTATCAGATCATAAATGTTGGTGATATGAATGCCCTTGTTTCCTGATATAGCTGAACATGTACCTGCTATTAGTTTTTTATTCTCAGACTGGCATAGTCCACTGACACTGACAGCTGCACCAGACTTATGAAAAAATACAATTTGGAGCATAACCCCCCCCCCCCACACACACACACACACTGCCCTCCCCATTTTCATGCTTCTGCATGGTACACCAGACATTCAAACCCTGTATTGCCAAGATAGCTAAAACTTTGATTGTTGGATTTGATGGGCCAGCATATTCACCAGCAGTGCAAAGGCTAGCAGTGCAAACTAAAAGCTATTGAATAATACTAACTATAGGCTCCTTTTCTTTCTTGTCAATGGATGGGACTATGAATATGATTGAAGTGTAGGTTTTCCTTCCTAGACAGACAGCATGAACACACATTAAGGCCAGTACTTAATATTTTGTTCGCAGTTTTCTATGGCCTGTCAATAAGTGCATAGGTAATGCTTATCTTCCAGGTCATATGTCTTGGTTGTTATGAAACTGTCATGTGATTGCTCACAAATAGATTGATATGTTCTTGATTACATGCCTAACAGTATATACCCTTGGATCTGTCTATACTGCTCATAATTTATAATCAGTGATATTAAAAATCTTATAATTTAACTACTTGGTCTGATGCTCTTTTGATTTCCTGATATATTCTGTGATAAAACATATTGTGCCAAATAACTGACACACCAGATTTGCCTTGCATACAGCCTTCCTCATGCAAATGTTGCTGTATGCTATCATTTACAGATAAGTGTGTCCCAGGCTACAAGATATGCCACTGAAGGGGAGGCTGTCATGCAGCATAAGCATGTTTAAATAAACTAGAGCAGACAACATCATCTGAACCTGCCATTTCACCTCTCCTGTGATCCCTGTTAGTCACCATGTCAGATGCCACCACTATGCTGAAGCATTGCTGTCGCGGCCTGGCCTCCGACCGGCTGAAGGAGCGGCGCGAGAGTGCTTCACAGCTGCGCGACCTGCTCAACAACGAGCAGCTGTGCGCCCTGCTGGACGCCGGCGGCCGCGACCGGGACCAGCTCACTTGGACCTATGTGCTGGCCAGCGTCATCACGCACTTCCAGAAGGAGATGACCAAGGCGGAGGGTGACGCGCGCGCCGGCAAGAACGCGGCCACGCGCGAGCAGGTGCCCCGCTGCGCGGCGTCGCTGCTGGGCGCCGTGGCGGCGCGCGCCAACCGCAGCCGCGCGTGTCTCGACGCCTCGATGCTGGCCGAAGAGCTGCTGGCCGCGCTGCGTCACCCCTTCCGGCGGCAGGCGGCTGCCGCCGAGCTGGTGCCGCTGCTGCGTGGCGCTCTGCTGGAGCCAGCGGCGGCGCGCTGCGAGCTGACGCTGGCCGACTGGCGCGCGCTGCTCCGCGGCGCGCGCGCACTGCACGAGGAGCCGCCACCCAGGGTGCAGCGCTACTCGCTGCACGCGCTGCTGGCGCTGACGGCGCGGCTCGGCTGCCTGCAGACGGCGCTGCTGCCGCGCGTGCGCGCGCTGCTGCCGCTGCTGGCCGCCGACGGCCTGCTGCGAGCGGCGCCGGCCGCCGCGCTGCGCCTGCTGAACGACGTGCTGCGGCTGGCGGCGCCGGGTGGCCGGCGGGCCGTGTGCCGGCTCGGTGAGCGCCAGTTTGACACCGTGTACCGGCTGTGGGACGCCCGCTGCCAGGACGGCGTGCTGGAGTTCATGCTGCTGCAGCTGAGCGCGCGCGCGCCGCTCTGTCGCCGGCGGCCGGCGGTCGGCCCGGCCGTCTGGGTCGGCCAGCTGAAGAAGATGTACCAGCTGGTGGTGGACGCGGTCGACGAGCGCAGCCACCGCAGTCACATCGTCGGCGGCGCCGGTGCGACCGACCACAGCCTGCCGCGGTGCTGGGTGCGCCTCTTCAGCCGGGTGGCGTACCTGCTGTTCGAGGGGGAGGACACGGTGTTGGACATCACGCAGGTGCCGAGCGGCTCGACCAGCGACGGCCGGCCGGCCAAGCGCCGCCGCCTGGAGGTGGGCGTCGGCGCCCTATGTGAGCGCATCCACGAGACGCGTGACTCGCCCCACTGCGTGCCCTGGCTACAGCTGCTGACAGGCCTGGTGGCGGCGCACCCGGACGCGCTGGGGCCGGAGCAGCTGCCGTGCTGTCTCAGCCTGCTGGTCAGCTGGCTGGCGGCTGACGGCCGCGCGCCGGAGGTGGTGCGGCACCAGCTGCAGCTGGCCGCCGCGCTGCTGGCCTGCCCGGCCGCCGACGCCGTGCCGGCCCAGCTGCGCGACGACATGGCGGCCGCCTGGGTGCGCCTCTGGGAGCTGACTGTGCAGGCGTCGTCGCTGGTGCAGTGTCATCCGGCTAGCCACGCGCTGCTGCAGTCCATGATGCGTCGGCGGGTCGCCCGGCCCGGGCGGCTGTTTCTTGAGCTGTACCTGCAGCGCGCCGCGCCGCCCAGTGCGCCCGCCGTGCGCTCGCTGGTGGAATTCCTGCGCGGCTTTGCCGTGCCGCAGCCGGCCGGCCCGGCCGCCGACCGCCTGGAGACGCGCGCGACCCTCATCGACTGGCTGCTGACGGCGGAGGTGGAGGCGCGCGCCGTAGCGGAGGCGCTGGCCCGACTCGTGCTGCGCGATAACACAGCCGAGCTGGCGCTGCCCGCCGAGCGCGAGGAGCGCGCCGACGACGAGCTCGCCAAACTGGGGGAGCTGTACCTGCGCAGCGATCTGGAGCTACCGCTGCGGCCCGGCGACGGTCCCACGCGTCCGTCGCCGGCCGTCGACGTGGCTGACGCGAGCGTGGCGCAGCTGAGGAGCCGGGTGCTGGCGGCGGTGGATGCGCGGCTGGCGGCGGCCGCGAAACGGCCTGCCGCCGCCGCTGCCGGCGGCGACGCCTCGGTGCAGTGGTGCCGGCAGGCGTGCGACGCCGCCTGCCGAGCGGCGGCGCTGTTGCGGCTCTGGTGCGACTGCGGGCTCCTCTCGGCCGCAGAGCTGGCGTCTGGGGCGGCGCCGGCCGGCAGTCTGCGTGCGCTCACCACCTCGCTTCTGCTGGCGGCCGCCGGCGAGCTGGACGCCGGCTCGCCCTCCGTCGTCGCCCCCCTTCTCGGCGACCTGCGGGACCTGTTCGCGACGCAGGCGGCGGCGACGGAGGATGAGTGGGCGCCGGCCGCCGGCCGCCGAGCCCTGGCGGTGTTGCTTGCGGTCGCCACGCCGCCCGCCTTCGTGCAGGCGTGCCTGCGTCTCGTGCGGGACGACACCGGCCGCCTAGTGCCACCCGGGCGGCGCGACGAGTCGTCCGGCTTGACGAGCGGCTCTTCCAGTGGTCAGATCGACGTGGATTTCGAAATATTGGAGACGACCGGCGCGGCTGAGGCGGCCGCCGGCGACGATTGCGTGCTGGAGATGCCGCTGCATGAGCTGGAACAGGCGCGACTGCTGGCCTGCACCATGCTCACCACCTTCGTCACAATGGACACTGCTGACAAGGTCGAGCTGTCGGAGGGGACCGTGCCCGGCGAGGTGATCTCGGCGCTGTTGGACGCCGTGTTGGATGGACGGCTGCAGGTCGGCTTCCCGGGCGACGCTCGCATCGCCATGCACCTGCTGACGACCCTGCCGTCGGCCGGCACGCTGAACGCCGGCCATGTCGGCTCGTTCAGCGAGCTTCTGCTGCTGGTGTGCCGCGAGTGGCCGCGTGACGCCCGCGTCAACCGCGCGGTGCTGGACGTGATGGCCGGGGGTTATGTGCAGCTGGTGGGACGGCTTGGCTCGGACCGCGACCGCACGGACGCCATGAAGTTCACGACCGTCATGCAGCGCAAGGCGGAGATGGCGCGCTTCGGGGAGCGCGGCATGCTGTCTCACTTGCGCTTGCTGGCGGCGCTGGCGCGCGCCGACCCGGCCGGCCGGTGGGCGGTGCTGGACGGCGTGTGGGCAGCACTGCCGCTGCTGACTCACCTCGGCGCGCCGAGCGAGCCGGAAGAGCGCGCCGACAGCGCCTGGAGCACGCATGCCTCCCGCATGCTGGCCGCTGATCTTCTCGAGCCAGTGTTCGAGGCGCGCGAGCGCCAGCCGGCCGCCGACGGCGCGACGCCGCCGCTGGACGACATGTTCAGCCTCGTGTACACTGCCGGCATGCAGTGCGTGGCGCCGGCCGGCGCTCAGCTGGACGAGTTGTCGCGCTTGGACGACGCGCCCAACCGCGCCGCGGCGCTGTGCCTGTCGCTGGCGCGCGTGGCGCTGGGCGCGGCCGTGTGCCTGCCGTCGGCGCTGCTGGCGCTGTGCCAGGTGTCGCGGCTGCATGACGTACCAGCCGAGATGGTGCTGCGCGCGCTGCGACACCTTGCGGCCGCACTCGGGCTGGCCTCGCCGCGCCGGCTGCTGGCCGCGCACCTCGACTTTGTGGTCGCGCGCTGGCTGGCTGTGCCGCTGCGCATCCTGGAGTTTCCCCACCGGCTGCTCGAGTACTCGTCCCCGGCCGAGTTCCTGACGGCGCAGCTGGGCTGCGTGGTGCCGCACCTGCTCGGCCGGCACGGCGATCAGCTGGCTGAGGTGGCCGAGCTGCTGGGCCGCCCGCCGGCCGAGCTCGGGCGCGCCTGCCTGCCGCAGATCGTGGCGCAGCTGGTGCCGGCGCTGGCCGCCGGCGGCGGCGACGCGCAGCAGCTGGCTGCCGCCCAGCGGCTGTACCAGCGCGCGCGCGAGCTGGTGGGCGGCGCCGAGACGTTCGACCGCGCGCTGGCCGCTCAGACGGTGTCCGTGATGACGGCGCTGTTCCGCGGACACGGCGCGCGCCCAGAGCGCATCGACGCCTGTCTGCGCTACGCCGCAGACCAGATGTACCACTGCAGCGTGGTGAAGAGCCTCCGCCGGCCTGAGGACGGCCTGCAGCGCCTGCTGCTCGAGCTCGCGGACGACGTGGCCGGCGCCGAAGGTGCCGCCGACCGCGAGCAGGCGGCGCGCGTTTACTGTGCGCTGCTTGGCCTGCTGGCCGACGAGTTTGCGCACCTGGAGCGGATGCGGCTGTTCGTTATGCGTGACGTGACGGCGTTCGTGCGTCACAGGCTGGCGGCCCTGTGCCTGCCGGCTGACGCCGCGCTGGCGCTGCTATACGTGCCGGCGCTGGAGCGCGTGTGTCGCGCGTGCGCCGCGCTGGCGCCCGACACTATGGCACACCATCTGGAGGAGGTGTGCTCTGCGCTGGTGCAGCTGCATGCAGCGGCCGCTGCCGGCGGGTGCGACGCGGTGGGCGCGGCGGCCGCCGGCGCGCTGGCCGCGCTGCTCGGCGAGCTGTCGGCCGGCTACCGGTCGGCGACGGCTGCGCTCACCTGCCTACCGACAGCCGGCCCGCTGAGCGAGCTGGCGCCATCGCCGCCGACCGACGCGCTGCGACGGCTCGCCGACAGCGGCGCGCTCAGCGTGAACGCGCTGCTGACGGCGCTGGCCGAGTTGGAGCGGGACGGGGCGCCGGCCGAGTGCGACCCCGGCCTCTTGGGCCGCCTGCTGCGCGTGGCCGGCGAGGCGGACGGCGAGACCGGCCGCGCCGCCGCGCGGCTCCTCGGCGCGCTCGGGCCGCAGCCGCTGGAGGGCGCTACCGTGCGGCCGCTGGCGGAGCCGTGGCAGCGCGCCGGGACGGCCGGCTCCGCCGACGCCCGCGACTGCCACCTGCTGTGGCGGCTGCACCAGCTGCTGGCCGACGCCGACGTGGCCGTGGTGCGCGCTGCCGGGTACGCACTGCGCGCCGTGCTGGCGGACCCTGGCGGCGCGCGCGCGCTCAAGCTCCTCGCTGCCACGCTTCCCGGCCTGGCCGAGCAGCTGCATCCGTTTCAGGTCACGCGGCGCGCGCTGCCGCGTCCCAAGCCGCTGCCGACGAGCGAGGCGCTGCGCATGGTCGACTCGCCAGCGCTGTGGATGCCCGAGCACGGGGAGTACGAGCCCTGGCTGCTGGAGCTCACCGTGACGCTTCTAGCCGTCGGCGTTCCGACGAGCCCGGAGCTGGCCGCCTACGCGCCGCTCTGCCGCGTCAAGGGCGCCGACTTCTGCCGCGAGCTCCTGCCGTACGCCACCAGGGCGGTGCTGCTGTCGAACAAGGAGCTGCGCGCGGCCGTCAGCCGCTGGGTGAACGGTCTGCTGCAGGAGCACCGTAGCCTCCGCCAGCGGGAGAGCAGTGCCGTCGCCTCGACGCCGACGCCGACTCCGGCGACGGCGCCGAGTCTGGCAGCCGACCCACGCTGCCTGCAGACGCTGCTGGACGTGGTGCTGTACCTGCGCCGGCAGCCTTTGCCGGGCGGCGAGCAGCCCGACTGGGCATGGGAGCGTCACTTCTGGCTGGACCTGCGGCTGCCGGCGGCGGCGTGCGCCGCGCTCCGCTGCGGTCGCTTCTGCGAGGCTGTCCTGCTGGCCGAGGTCTCCTGCTACGCCGAGCAGCGCGGCGACCGGCCGCTGCTGGACCGCTCGCCTGAGAGCGAGGAGCTGCGCGCACTGCTGCGCGAGGCGCATGTCCAGCTGGGCGACGTGGACGGCGTGGCGGCGCTGCGCTCGGGCGGCGGCGACGCGCGTGGCCAGCTAGTGCATCTGGAGCAGCAGGAGGAGTGGCTGCGGTCGCTCAGCGCGTACGACGGGCTGGCGGCCGAGCGGACGGCGGCAGTGCAGAGCGGCATGTTACGCTGCCTGGCAGAGCTGGAGCTGTTCAGCACGGCGCAGACGCAGCTGCGCGGCCTGACGGTGGAGCTGGGCCACCCGGACACGCTGCCTGCGCACTTGTTGGAGGCCAGCTGCGAGGCCGCGTGGCGGCTGGCGGACTGGTCGGCGCCTGCGCCGGCCGCCGCCTCCCGGCCCGGCTTCCACCAGGCGCTGTTCGGCTGCCTATCCGCCTACCGGGATGGTGACGTGGCTTCGGCGGCGCAGGCGGTGGAGCGCGGCCGCGCCGCCGCGCTGGCCGCGCTAGCCGGCCCCGTGGCGCCTACTGCGCACGCGGCCAGCCGCTGCCTCGGCCAGCTGCGCCTGCTGCGCGGCGCCGACCAGCTGTGCGCCGCTGCTGGTTCGGAGGCGGCGCTCGGCGCGCTCTGCCGGCGCTGGCGCCACGCGCCGGCGCCGGCTGTCTCCTTTCGGCTGGAGGAGCCGCAGCTAGCGTTCCGCGCCACGCTGCTCGGCGTGCTGGCCGCGCGCCAGCCGGCGCTGCAGGACGCGGTCCTGCTGCGCCACGACACGCTGCTGCGCCTCAGCGCGCGGGCGCGCGCTGCCGGCCGACTGGCGGCCGCCGAGCGCGCCGCTGCACAGCTGCCGGCCGACGCGCTGCCGGCTGTGCGCTGTCGGGCGGAGAATAGCTGGGCGCGTGGCGACGCCGAGCGCGCGCTCTGGCTGTGTCGCGGCGCGCTGGACGCGGCGCCGGCCGCCCCGACCGAGTCTGAGCAGCTGCAGCTGGCGCAGCTCAGGGTGCTGTACGCCGGCTGGCTGTCGGAGGTGCATGCTGAGAGTCCGCAGGCCGTGCTGAAGCAGCACCTGGCGCCGGCCATCGAGCAGCTGGAGCGGTACTCGGCAGCCGACGGTGAGTTGCCGCGCTCAGGGCCACAGCGGCAGGAACGGCCGGTGTGTTGGCGCGTTTGGGTGATTGCCTGGTGTGATGAGTGTGGAAAGTCCGTGAACCGCCTGAATTCGGGTGTGGATGTCTGTGAGTGCAGTGTAGCCCTGGCTCTCTTGTCCTTGTTCCCATCGCCTTGCGTCGGCGGGGTCTCTTTGATGCGTGTCTCTTGAATCTGCTGGTGTGTGCTGGACAGCATTTGTATTCAGGTTCGAGAACATCTGTGTCATGCAATTCTGTAGCCCGTCCAGCATGAGCTTTAGGAGCTAGTCCCGAGACGTCTGCGTCATTTTTACCATAATTGTCTTCGGATTAAGAAGCTGGGTCTGCTTGCGTTGGTTCGTTCTCTCCTGCGTCGTCTCTGCGCTAAGCGTCGCCTTGCGACCGCCAGGTGTGGGAGCGGAAGGGGCGCTGCTAGACGCCCACCACCTAGTCGGCCAGTACGCCGACGTCCAGTTTCAGCGCGTCGATGAGATCGTCTCGTCGCCGGCCTTCGCCGACAAGCGCGCCGAGGCAACGCGCATGCGCGAAGAGGCCGAGGAGTTCCAGCGGCACTCGGCCGACGCGACCAAACCCACGCTTGAACGCAAGGACTTGGCGCGCCAGCGCCAGCACCTATTACGCTCGGCCGAGCTGGACGAGTCGGAGCTGCGACAGCATGAGGAGGAGCGCGCCTCGTTCCAGCGCCAGGCCGTGGCCAGCTATGTGCGCTGCCTGCAGCTGGGCGACCGGCGCGACCTGCTGATGTACCGCGTGGTGGCGCTGTGGCTGGCCGACGAGTCGGACCAAGTGTGCAAGCAGCTGGGTCCGGCGGCGCCGCGGCTCGCCTCGCACAAGTTTGTGCCGCTGCTACAGCAGCTGGCGGCGCGGCTAGGCCGGCCGCGCTGGCACTCCGGCTCAGCGGAGCTGCTGCAGCAGCTGCTGGAACGCTGCGCCTCTGATCACCCACACCACACGCTGCCCGTGCTGCTGGCGCTGCAGCACGCGCGCGCCGACGCCGGTGCCGGCGCGCCTGCCGCCGATGCGGCCACCCAGCAGCGCACTGCGGCCGCGACGCGACTCGTGGCACGTCTGCGCGAGCGTGACGCCCTGGCCGACCACGTGCGCCAGCTGGAGGCGGCCAGCCGTGCGCTTATACAGCTGGCCAACCACGTGCACAACGGCGGCGGGTCCAGTCAGGGCCGCGTGCCGGCCGCGTGCGGCCTGCCACTGGACGCCCTGCCGGCCGTCGCCGTGCAGACGGTCCCGCTCCCCGTGCGGCCGGACGGCGACTACACGGCCGCCGCCAGCGTCGTGCGCTGGGACGACAAGTTCAGCATGGTGGGCGGCTTGAACGCGCCCAAGAAGCTGCGCTGCCTCGGCAGCGATGGCCGCTGGCGGCCGCAGCTGCTCAAGGGCCGCGACGACCTGCGCCAGGACGCCGTGATGCAGCAGGTGTTCTCCGTGCTGAACCTGCTGCTGGCGGAGAGCGCGGCGCCCGGCCAGCAGCGGCTCGCCATCCGCACGTACAAAGTCGTGCCGCTGTCGCAGCGTTCGGGCCTGATCGAGTGGTGCGTGGACACGCAGCCGCTGGCCGAGTACCTGACCGGCGGCGGCCGCGGCGGAGCGCACGAGCGCTACCGGCCCGACGACATGACGACGGCTCAGGCGCGCGCCGCCATGACCGCCGCCGCCAAGAAGACGCCCGAGAGCAAGCGGCGCGCCTTCGATGAGGTGTGCGCGCGCCTGCGGCCCGTGTTCCGCCACTTCTTCCTGGAGCGCTTCCCGGAGCCGTGCGCGTGGTTCGAACGGCGCTTCGCATACACCAACAGCGTGGCTACGTCCTCGATCTCGGGATACGTGCTCGGCCTCGGTGACCGGCACGTCAGCAACATTCTCATCGACCAGGCGTCGGCCGAGGTGGTGCACATCGACCTGGGCGTGGCGTTCGACACGGGCCGCCTGCTGCCCACCCCGGAGACGGTGCCTTTCCGCCTCACCCGCGACCTGGTGGACGGCATGGGCGTGGCCGGCGTCGAGGGCCGCTTCCGGCGCTCGTGCGAGCGCACGCTGGCCGTGCTGCGTGAGAGCCGCCAGCTGGTGCTGACCATCGTGCGCGTGCTGCTGGACGACCCGCTGTACGCGTGGACGCTCACCGCCGACAAGATGGCGCGCCTCCAGCAGCGGCGCGTGAAGCGCGTGGTCGACAACCGGCAGGCGGAGCGGGCGCTGGCGCGGCTGGACGAGAAGCTACGCGGGCAGGAGATGGGTCGGCTGATGGACTGCGCCGCTCAGGTGGGCCACCTGATCCAGCAGGCGCGCGACCCCGACAACCTGTGCCGACTCTTTAGTGGCTGGCAGGCTTACCTGTAGGCGGGTGACTGTGTGGCGCCGGACAGGGCGGAGCGGGAGCGGCCTGGCGGTGGGCGGGCAGGGACCGGGAGCCAGGCGCCCGCGGGTGGTGGAGTGGGCGGAGCGGCCGTGGATGGTGGAGTGGACGGAGCGGCCGTGGATGGTGGAGTGGACGGAGCGAGAGCGGCCCCGCGGTGGGCGGGCAGGGACCGGGAGCCAGGCGCCCGCGGGTGGTGGAGTGGGCGGAGCGGCCGTGGATGGTGGAGTGGACAGAGCGAGAGCGGCCCCGCGGTGGGCGGGCAGGGACCGGGAGCCAGGCGCCCGCGGGTGGTGGAGTGGGCGGAGCGGGAGCGGCCCCTTGCGGTGGGTCGGCTGGAGGCCAGAAGTCAAGCGGCCGCAGAGGGCGGTGCCGTCCGTTGGTTTCTCACAGAGGGCGTTTGATGGTGCCCGTGCTATTGGCTGTGCGTTGTGATGTGGCGGATACCGTCATCGTTGTTTTTTGATACTGAAAGGAGCAACTTGTTGCGGGTCGCCAATGTGCTCAGTAAAGAAGCGGGTATGATTTACTGGGTAATCAGTCTGTCCTGCTTACTGGGAATCTGCCCGATGTAGTTAGATGGTACTGCCTGTCGATATCACTGCATTGCTGCCGGTCAGGTTGCCACCGCACATCATGCAGTCTTTGTCTTCAGGGTGCATTGTTATTCGACCTCGCGCTTGTCGAGTGTCTCTGTGTGCCTTCTCGCCTACGGATGAGTATACTCCATTGTTTACTAGCATGCATTATCATAGTCGCGATACTGACGCTACATTGCAATACAGATAGCATAGTCATGCTTTTCTAACGGATCCTTTTTTCTTGACTTCAAGGTGTAATCACTTACCACGCGTGCATACTCCAGAAACGCTGAGTTGCGTATCACTTATATTTCTCAAAATAAATGCAAGCTGCACATGATCTCTACTTTAACTACGGCTCGCCGACGTGCGTCTTAACTGAAGATTCTGCCAACGTAGAGTCGAGGTTGATAACAGCAGAAGTTAAAATCAGACCACGTCCATTATTTCCCCCTCCGTAGCAGCACACAGAACCGTCGACGCTCTTCTGCTTCTTTGAGCAGAGGCCGGCAGAGCGGTGAATGGTATGAGTGGCTGCCGGCCACTGTGGTAACCCGCGTCGCCTGCCGGTGATGTAAGGTGACTGGCAAGTTTCGTCGCGGCGCTCTCGTTCCGGAAAGTCGTGTGCCGGCTGCGGTGAGCCTCAGGACAGCGGCTGGTCCGATCGGTCCGGTGATCTGGTCGGGTTTTGCCACTCGTGGTATGGGCGCCATGGGAATCACTTACTTCCACGAATAGTGTGCCAACACCGTGGCGCAGTGGCACTTGTGCCTTGCGTGTGTGGATTGCCGACTATAAAACATGTATATAAGACGAATGCACATGCCTTGCAGAACTAAAACGACTGTCCGAGTCTCGTATCTGTTGGCGGAGGCGGTTCATGGCAGTCGTTTCAGCTACAAGTAAGTCGAACATCAACAGTAGCATTAAAATTGCGTTATTGCTCTTGAGAACAGCTACTGGCGGTTTACGCCACTTGGCATTACTGATGTGAGGATTTCCATAATTTTGGTACTCATCAGAAGGCGTATTTCGCAAGGTTTTTGTTTATTAGTTTTTGGTAAACTGATACGACAGCGGTATTGGCCTTATTCTTCGGAAAAACCAGGAGAATGGAGACATAGTTAGGTTGATATTTTGGCAGCATGCCTTTCCCGAAAGAATAGCAGAAGTGGGAATAAGGATAATACTACTGTCTTATCTGTGTAACTAATGTTCCTCGCTAATGCACTGAACAATTTACGTAAACTGATGAAAGTTTCTTTCTGAGCATCAGTCCAAGGCCCTCTTAAAATTAAGCAGGTTTCTGCAGCGGGCGATCAGAATCGTGATCGTCGACCGCCTAGAGCTCATCGAGTTGTCTGACGAGGGGCTGCTGGAGGAGTTGGCCGAGCAGGGGGTGTGCGAGGTCAGGCGCTTGCCCTCCTGCCGTCCCGGGTTCGGCCCCAACCCCCTGGTCCGCCTGCGATCTAGGGGGCTGGAACCCCTGCGAGTCATCCATTGCGGACACCTAGAGGTCCCGGTTAAGGCCTGCCCCCCCCCCCCCCCTCCCCTTAAGGCAGCGCCACACGTGCCATCGGTTCGACCACACCGACCGGGCCTGCCGGGCTGCGAACCCGACCTGCGGCAGCTGCGCCAATCCCCACCACACGCGAGTGTGACGTAGAAAACCCGCGTCGCGCCACGTGCAAAGGCCTGCACGCTGCTTGGGACCGCCGCGCTTGTCCCGCTTGGCAAGTGCAGCGTGAAGCATTCGAGACGAGGCGAGGCGAGACGAGAGCTCCACTCTCAGGAATGGCCTGCGCCGCGGGAGGCGTACCGTTGCCCCGTCACTCTTCTGACGCCAGCTCCACGGCGGCGCCCCCTCCCTCCCCCGCGTCCTCTTGAGGAGCCCGAGATGCCGAGCCAGCGCTGTGCACAACGCGGCGCTTCCCCTCAGCACGCCGCTCATCCCCAGCAGGTCAGCCACATTTGGTGCGGCGTCCGATCGGACCCGCGCCGGTCAAATGAGTTGAGACGAATCCGGTGGCTGCGGGTCTCCCTAAGGAGGGACCCGCCCCACCAGACTAAGAGAGCCTGTGTCTCACCTTAGCACGCCGCTGTTGCCTTCCCCACCCATAGCGGCATCCCGTCACACTTGGAACACATAGCTTTGACAAGAAACGTGACTTTCAATGTCAATGTCAAATCAAACGCGGCACTCTGGTATTTATTCGTTAAGCAAGAAATGCAGCAAAAGCAGTATGATTTCGATGCTTAGGATATGCGCTTCCACCACCTTTGGGAAAACCAGGTTTCAAGGTCAAAGATCAAGGTCAGAGCAAACACGGTACCCTGGCATCTATTCGTTTACTAAAGAATGATACAAAATGGGGATTACAGTGGTGTTCGTGACATCTGCTTTCGTTACATTTTGAAAATCCACTTGTAAGGTCAAAAACCAAGGCCAGAGTAAACGCGATATCCCGGTATTTATTCGTTTACTTTATGAATACCACAGATGTTCTCAACTTTAAAAAAATGCAGTGAACAAGAAAAAAGTGCACAACTGACACAAAAGCGGAGGAACGACCTTTTGCGGATGGACCTAAATCTGTTATAAATAGCTTTGTCCAGCACCAGTATTACCCCAGCATGTACGTGAGATCGTGCACGAAGTCCATTACATGTTGTTTATAGTTGTAATGCGGCCGCTGAGCAAAGCCGAAGCGACGTGCTCACAGATTCTAAGCCTACTGCGCCCGTCGCTCATGTACAAGACTTGCGCTCTGCCCACAGCGACTTTTGACGCGAACAGCACATGACACTATGAACTTGAGCCTCCGAAAGGAAAAATTGATGGTCATGACGCAACGCACTTAATTTATCTTTGTTTGGGGTGGTTTTTTTACATCCATCACAATATTGCAACGGTTTCTAATGTCTGTCTCCAGGTGACCCTTTCTGCCGTTCCAAATTCCGTCAGTGACAGGAAACACACATCTCATCCCTGACCACGGCCCCATGAATAATCATCCAGGCAGCCGCGTCGTCTCCCATGTCTTGGATGAATCTGTGACCAAGCATCACCGAACAGAGTTTACTTATAGAAAATGCAATGTATTAATATCGACAGAATGAGCAAATCTGTCACTAATTTTTTGACTAGAAGAGCCGGTTGGTCAAACATACGAGACGCGATCAAAAGCACGACGAATGCCGATAAATGCGCCCGTCCAAAAATTCACATGCTGGAGCTCAGATTCTTCCGCTGCCTGACGCACCAAAATGCAAAGAACTTCCACACCACACGACGAGCGCAGCACTCACGCCACAACAGTCTGTTCTCAAAATCCAGACGGAGACACCCCCAAGCGCGCGGCGGCGGCCGCCCAGTCCTGCGGAACTTTGCCCGTCACCGGCAACATCCAACTTCAAAAGGGATCTGGCAGCGTCGATGTCACCTCCACCGTCACGACACTGTCGTTCATTGAAACAGTGTGCAGTTCACTTAGTGGCACGTGCGTCACTCCGCCTAGGCAGCCCCCGCCGTGCGCTAGGGAGCGCCGCCGGCCCCGCCCACGGGCGGGGCCGGCGCTCCGACGGCGGGTCGGGGCCGTGCCGCGCAGCAGGGCCCGCTGTCCGGCGGCGGTGGCGCCGTTCCAGCGGCGCATGAACGTCTCCGTGTCTCTGGCCCACGTCGGGTCGGCGAGCGTGCGGGCCACCATGCGCCGGGCGAACTCCTCCCAGACGCGCTGCACGCTGGTGCCCACTTCCGACAGCGGCTGCATTGATGCGGCATCGGCTGCCGTCTTCGACCTCGACGAGAGGGGATCGGCCTCCACGAAAGTCGTCGGCGAGCCGGGACCGGACGCCGTCGGTTCGGGCGAAGCGGGAGCGATTTCCTCCCAGCGTGCCGGCGGTGCAAGGTCGGCTGCTCCCAGCGGCCCCGGCGTGGCCGCATTGACAGCCGGCGACGGCTCCGGCCACGCGGCACCGGTTCCTTCCCAGGGCTCCGGGTGGGCGGGTTCGACCGTCGTCTCGTTCAGCGCGCCCGCGTCCGGCGTGCCGGCGCCCTTCTTCCCAAAAATACGGTAGTACAGGCTGAAGCAGGGAGACGCTAGCGTAGGTACACATAAACAACGAAAACGAGATTGAACAGTCATCGCGTCGTACATGGTTCGCACCATCTCGAATGCGCTGATCCTTGCGTCAGTCAGGACTGAAAATACCTGAGCGAGTGTTCCCTGTGGGTTCCCGACTCACGCGTCACCACCGCCAGAACAGTCCGTGGGAGCGGGGGATATCCACAGGAACATATGCGGCGGAACGTGAGCGCACCGGGAGAGGGCCGTAGCTTAAAGGTCATTGAGGGTCAAGGACACATAGGCCATTTCTTCATTCAACAAACAAAAACGGTGTTTCCGCTGCGAAGTTTCTCAACATTATTCAGAACCTCCAGTTAGTAGTGAACAGACCATGTGCCAACAACGAAGACAGACGTTTCTTGTTTCGCGGAATCTGAACGAGCGACGACCCCACCCACAGGAGCTCGCGATGGCCCCGGCCATGCCTGAGGCGCGGCAGGCGGCGCCACGCTCACCTGAAGACGTGCGTGAGGTCGGGCACGACGCCTCTGTCGGCCGCCACCGTGCGATAGGCGGCGCCGTGCTCCAGCTGCAGGTCCAGCTTGAGCGCCCGCAGCGCCGACGTGGGCGAGTGGTGGCTCCGGAAGAGCTGCACCAGCCGCGCGTCCGTGTCGGTGCTGACGCGGCGGTGCCGCAGCGCCGTCGCCGACGTCGTCGAGTGGTTGTGGCTCTTGCCGTTGCCCACCACCAGGAGCGAGTAGCCCTCGTAGGGCAGCTGCGCCCTGTCGGGGTCAGTACGAGCGCGCGTCGGATCGAGTGCATATCGCCAATGACCGCGACGCATTACACATGAGCATTGGTCACGTGGTATGTCCAGTGCACGCCAAAAGAAGCCGACCGGAGGCTCGACGCAGTGTAACTATCACATGGCACGCCATGGCTCGACTTATATACCTGGATCCGCGCATTGTGCAACAATATGATGACTTTGAGGTGCGTCAACTTGATATATTCATGATGCACACGAAATATCTCACGCACAAAGCCCAACACAATCTTCTTAAATAAAAGGGAACAGTCTGTGATCAACCATCAACAAAAACTAGATGGTCAAGCATGGTCTCCAACAGAGATGGAAACCCAGCTGGTAGCATGGCCATTACTAAATATGGAGTGTAACAAGCAAGTAAAACATCAATGTGCACTCTATTTTACGACAAATTTACTTAGACTTGCAGATACGCGCTATGACCTGCTGGCACACAGATCCAGCAAATACTAACCACTTATAACTGCCGGCATCTGCCAGCTTCACAGCGACGGCTACCGGACAGCCGAGACTCCTCATTGAGCAGCGTCGGGGCCGGTCGGCGCGGTCGGGGACGTTGTGGTGGCAGCGGAAGTGAGTCTGAAAGCGACAGATTCGACCGTTGCATCGGCGCAATACCAGCTGCATGCAGGATCGCCTCAAAAATACCAACTGGAGCCGAAAGTTTGCACGTGATATCACCGTTGAGTTGCGTTGGTCATCTGGGTCGAGTGCAAGACTTCCATCACCATTGTGCATGGTAAGTGCACCAATCTCGCTTTGAATCCATTGGCGGACTACGCCAGGTACACACTGTGACATAAGCTTGATCTATCACAGCCAGAGGTGCCTTTTATCCTGGCAGGGACTTCTCCACAGAGGAGGAGCCGCACCTTGGGAGGCTTTACCATGGAGCTGCATTGTACAGTACAGACATCTCTCAGTACTATTAGGCTGACATACCAAAGAAATACTTTTCACAATTTGACATCAGACTGATATGAGGGTGGGTGCAGGTAGGCATTACACACAACTGGTGCTAATTGAGGACATATTTAAATCCAAGTTAATGAAATTAGCAGACTTGACTGATCCCAGCCCCCCATTCCAGTGGCATTTCAAATGGCTGTTTAGAATACAAATTAATATTAAGAATGGGTTCTTCCATACCTTATAAACAAACTTTCCTGGCCTTGTGGCAAAGACACTAAAAGTTGTCTTGGTGATTTCCATAAAGTCTGCCATCCATTTAGATATATTCCTTTTCTCAGCAGAGCACCTATAGGCGATGATTGTTCCATTATAGACCTCCTGAAAACAGGGAGGTTTTTGAGACACTCATACATATTTATGCACAGCCCAGAAAACATTGTCACTGATGCAAAGCAAAACAAAACAATGCAGGCAAACAAGGGTATTTTCATTCCAAAAAGGAGCAAATCTAGTCTCAGCATGACTTACACTTGACTGATGACCACATGGCTGCAAATTTACTGAATGCAGCACAAATGCTCATTACATAAATGCACAGAAGTTAGGATACCTATCAAATGAATGCTCTGGAGGTAAATGTTCATCTTCACCCCATAAATGTTTGCTGCCCCATATTCACACAGTGCTATTGCACATATTCATTACCACCTCTGTGGTTTGGGACCCTTATTTTGCTGGGTCCTTGTGGGTGATGTTTATGATGCTGACACACAGGATCACACCACCCAAGCCTTCTATGGGCTGACCTAATACTGAAATGCATATGAAGTTCTCACCTTTTCTATGCCCTCAAACATTCCAGTTCTTTCACACAGTATGTATTTGGTGCCATCAGCAGCATGCTCTTCTTTGTACTCACACTGCAAGAGAAAGGTGCTATGTTGGCCTGGAATCATACAAGTGTTCTCAGGGCTACACTCCTTTTAAGTGAGTAATGTTAATACATTTTATTCAAGTTTGAACCTTGTTTACAGGCCCAGCTGGTAGCAGTGCATAAAATGACTGTCTTTGATCGGCCAAGTGTGAACGATCACCGATTCCTCCTATTCAAGTTCCACAACTGTAAATTTAGGGCCCATGCTTGATGAGAGCAGACCACTCCAGTGGCAATGGCTGCAGCTCATCTACAGATGATTAATGCTATACAGCACAATGTATTCACTAAGAAATCAAAAATTGAAATACAACATGAGTGACATAACTTTTGATGGGATTAAGAACAAGAAAACTGTGTTCTTTTGCTATTTCTTAAGAGTGAGATATTCCAGACTTAGGAAATCTTTAAAACACCTAAAATTCTGGATTGGCTCTTCATCCAAATCAATTCAGCTCTGCTGCAACTACATGCCATATTAAAGACAAACTGGCTAGAGCATGAAGGATGCACCTAAGTTCTTTCAAGCTAAACCTGAATCATCTTTTAGGGGCATAGGGATGTTGAGGTCACCTCCACAGCTTTGTGAAAATTTAACACTAGCTCTTCTGGCAACAACTAGAGAGATATTGCTAAAATGGCTATCAGCCTCCCTCTGGGAAGAGCTTCCATGGCCCCTGATCTAGATCCCCTAAATCCTAGGAACTTAAGTCAAGGCATATTTGAACAAAATAACACATTTCCAGAGTTCCTTGTTTGTGGCAAGGCCCAATTACAAAGTAAGATACATGTGGACTTGAAAGCTACATCAAAACATAATATGTGAACTGATTTAAAGCCAGGCAATATGAAGCCAAGCATCATGAATGGACTACCAAGCTAGATGTCACTTCTGCCATAATAAGAGGCTCCATAGGTGTCCTTATGAACATCACTATGTGCAAAGGGTTTGAACTTGCAATGCTGCATGCAAATCTGAACTCTAACCTTTGTCAGCATGGTCGGTGCACGGCCAGCTTTGCGAAATGCTTGAAGCATTTGGCCACTTATGCAAGATGTGTGCAGGGCAATTAGCCGGTCTCCTGGGAACAGGAGCACAAAAATTAAAGCTCGACAGAAGATCCGGGGCTGTTCAACCGTAGGGGCTAAGCAGCCAACAAAACCTGCTGGCAACTCCCATGCCCCGGGCCACGACACCGATTGACACAAAAACACCATTCAGTGCCGCATGGTACATAGCGCATCCTTTGAGAATGTGGTGTCCTTGGGTTAGGTCGAAGGTCATCAAAAATATCGAAAACCCGAAAGATAAGCATGTAGGCAACCCATGATCCGAATCTGTCGAACCGATCGGCACAAAACCTTCGCCAATCCATGCGTCGTAGTCCATGTCTTATCCTTATCAGTACATGGTGACTTTAAATCAGGTCACAGGTCACCAAAAATGCCAAATACCACTAAGATCGGCTGAAGACAACTACGTGCGCCGAGGCGATGTGAATGATTGGTACAACACCTTTACTACTCGATACGTCATGGTCAATACAGTGAAGGGCTCCTGACAACCGACAATACCCCGGCAGGTTTACACGTGGGACCCTCGGCTAAAGCGTTTGGACCCTTTAGGGCAAAGGCAAAGGATCAGTGGAAGGTTCCTGATTGACGAGAGCGCTTCGGCCCGCTAGAAGGAAGAGCCCCAGCAACAGCGCAGGGCCCGTCAAAAAATGCAAATTGGTGTCTACTTGTGGGTTCTTGACCTGCGCTGGCGACTGCTCTTGATTGCCTGGAACCCCAAAGACGTTCGATTTTGTTCCGTGTTGAAAACTAGCGCTTGTTCGGTCGGCTATGGGCCCAAGCGGAGCCTACGGCCCCTTCGGCGCCCATGAGGCCATGACTCTGTGCCCCCCCCCCCCCCCCCTCTGGATCTGCCATAAGTCGTAAAGTCGCACAAACTCCCTTTGTCTCCGTCATGGAAGTACCCCTTCCCCCTCAGTCAAAATGTCGACAGTGTGGTGACTTCCGCAATGGCTTGATGGCTTGTCTCCCTCCAACTAGATAAGAATTTGGGAAACTACACCCTGGCTTCAGGTAATCCGTGAAATAGTACAATATGGTACAAATAGTACAAGAGAATCCCGGAGTGTTCCCGGGATCTGGCAATATCTGCTCCATCGAAAGGTACAAAATAGTAAAAATAATAAATTATGGATTAAAATAGTACTTGAATTGTAAAATTTTGCAACAAATATTTCCAAAAATAACCACGAAAAACATTACTTCCGCAAAAGAAACGCCGTAAGCAAACGCGAAGTCTAACAACAAAATTTGCGCACATTTGGGTTGTTTAGGTGGAGGGGTTGTTGATGGTGTGAGGGAGGGGACGGAAATTAGATCATCAACAGTTTCACTTTTCAGTCTTTCAAGCAGCAATGCACTAAGCCTTCGTGATCTTTGATTCATATGGCCGTGGTTTTATAGTCCTGGCAATTCCGGAAGCTCCACAGTTCGTTGGAAAATAGTGGCTGGTAAGTTTAGCATATAAAAGCATAATTAACGAGCACTTTTCCAAGCCATCGTGTCTATACCTTTTTATATGTGCTATGGTTGTGTCGTGATGCAATGAAGATATGGTGATGTAGCCTGTCAGCCTTTGTTAAATAGGATTTGTCTACCATGACATAGCTTTCAAAATTGGATATTGCGGATTGTAAGCTATAAATGCTACTTTTGCATTGTTCCCACTGTTGTGATACTTAGGTTTGGTCACTTGGTAGACTGTTAATTTTAAGCTAGGGCAGTGGCTTTGAAATGTCTGGCACTAACAAAGGCAAACAACAGTTTAAATTACTCACAGTTAAGACATATACAGCTTCATGTGACAATGCATAGTTACCTCATGTAATTAGTTTTCACATTCTCCATGGGATCAACTGCAATTATTTCATATGATTTTTAATCTTGGGATAATTACAAGTAATGATCTGATACACTTTGAGCATATGTATGATTAGTGCAGCCATCCATATTCTGTATCTCTGAAAATGAGAACTGGGATGGGCTTGAACAAATAAGGAGCACACATGGTAGTCAAGAGCTGATTTCAAGTTGATGTTCTGAGCCATCACTGGTCACTTAGTCAAATGTTGGCATTGTTTTATCAGTTATCAATTAAAATTTGCACAGAATCATGGCTCATTTTTTATTTATCCATATCAATCAAATATCAAGATCTCATTCATTTGTTTATGCACAGTAATAACACATGTCTCCTGTGGTCTTGCAATTAATCCACCAAGAACCCCACCCTTTTAGTTTCTTTCATATCTATGGCATGTGTATTTATGCTCAGCTCACAGTTTGTATAATATTGATTATACACTGTCATCTTAATGGCAATGAATGTGATTATATGGCTTAATTTGAACAAGAAACTGAACATGTTCATGGGTATGTAGATTTCAGGATTGTAGACAGGATGTAGGCAAGTTCTTTGGTGTTATGGCTTGGCTGGCAGTTGTGAGGCAGATGTTTTAATGAGCTAGATCTGTACTTGCCACTCATGGACAGGGCAGGTTTATATTGTTTCCACCCATGCCAGAGCTACCTCATGTTATTTGTTCTGCCCACAGAGGTGGTGCAATAGAGAATATGTTCTGCTGGGAGCTAGCCTATGCTTTGTTTCTGCCGCTAGGGTAGATGACTGAGCACCAATGTTGGTGATAGCCAACCCATGCTCCACCCTACCCACAGAGGTCCCACCATGGAGTACCTGCTCTGCTGGCGACGCTGCGCTGCCTCGCTGCTGAAGCGCTCATGCTCGCAGACCAGGCAGCTGAACGCGGTGCTGCAGTCGGCGGCCGGTGGTGGTGGCGCGCGCCGCGCGGCGTCCGGCGGCCCGCCTGACGCCGTCCGCATCGTGGAGGTGGGACCGCGCGACGGCCTGCAAAATGAACCAACCGCCGTGCCAACGGCCGTCAAGGTCGAGCTGATCGAGCGGCTGGCGCGCGCCGGCCTGCGCTCTATCGAGGCGGCCAGCTTCGTGTCGGCGCGCTGGGTGCCGCAGATGGCCGACGGCGCCGCCGTGCTGGCGGCCGTGTCCCGGCCGGCCGGCGTCCGCTACCCCGTGCTGGTGCCCAACATGCGCGGCCTGCACGCCGCGCTCGAGGCCGGCGCCGACGAGGTGGCCATCTTCGGCGCCGCGTCCGAAGCCTTCAGCCGGCGCAACATCAACTGCTCGATCGACGAGAGCTTCGCGCGCTTCCAGCCGGTGGTGGAGGCGGCGCGCGCCGCCGGCGTGCGCGTGCGCGGCTACGTCTCGTGCGTGTGCGGCTGTCCTTACGAGGGCGCCGTGGCGCCGGCGGCCGTGGCGGCCGTAGCGCGACGCATGCACCGGCTCGGCTGCTACGAGATCTCGCTGGGGGACACGATCGGCGTGGGCACGCCGGGCGCCGTGCGCGCCATGCTGGAGGCGGTGCAGCGTGAGGTGCCGGCCGGCGCGCTCGCCATCCACTGTCACGACACGTACGGCCAGGCGCTGGCCAACATCCTCACCGCGCTGCAGATGGGGGTGCGGGTGGTGGACGCGTCGGTGGCCGGGCTGGGCGGCTGCCCGTACGCGCGCGGCGCCTCCGGTAACGTGGCCACGGAGGATGTGGTGTACATGTTGCACGGCTTGAGCATCGAGACGGGCGTCGAGCTCCCAGCTCTGGTGGACGCCGGTGCGTTCATCTGCGAGAAGCTCAATCGGGCCAACATGAGCAAGGTGGCGCAGGCGATGCTGGCCAAGCGGGCGGCAGAGACGGCGGAGAAGTGAGCGCGCGATGGCGAGGTGGCTGTGAGATTATGGCAAGGATTGGAATGGTGCTAATTACGGAGCAGTCTTCTGCCGAATTTAGGGCGGTAGATTTAAATGTTACCCTTCCTAGCGGTGTTTGTATGACGTTATCGTGCAGCTCTTCTGCTTTTGACGGAGCACAATATTGGCCTATCTCACCTCCTTTTCAGAATGTGGGATCGTTAGCCTGGTGAAGTGATGCGATGGTTGTGCTGTTGTCTTCAGACTGTTCCCTCAAGAACCCGTTCGTTAGACCTCTCAGTTTATGTACTTTTAAATGTTTTGATGCGCTTAAGGCTGCCCCACTCCCAAGTGAATATTTTTTTAGTCGGTTGCTGGAAGGTAGGTTATGGCTTTGTGCAATATTGTTTATGTGCGACGCATTACGCCTAGATTACCTGTTACACAATAGATCGATCATCTTCCAGCATTTAGACCCGTCCGTCCACGAATATATGTAATGAGTGCGATACATAAAGTCAATCGAGTGGTTCTTTTCATGTCCGCTGAATAGGATTGTTTGGTGGGTTTGGTTCTGTTGGGCACTGTTTTTCGGGCGTCTATGGGCAATCAACATTTTAGAGAATGCGAGGGGAATTCTAGTACACAGAAGATCAACATTCACGATGATTCGGTATTATTCTGAGTCAAGGTTTTGTGGAATCCAGCGAGGCTTTGCACGCAAGAAATCGTCATTTTACGGCATTGCGTTGAGTTGTGCGCAGGGCACCAACGTTGCGGGGACTACGCTAGAGTCCTTGCATACTGACGCGGTCATGTACGTTTGCGCTACGTATGAGGGTTGATGGGTGGTTATACGAACGAAAGACATCAACTTTGGCCGGGACCGAGACAATCCATCACAAGCCTTGCGATATTGTAAGCTCCTTTTCGCGGCATACTATTTGTTACTTATGTTCATTGAAACTTAGTGATGAACTTGCACGATATGGACCATATAGCTTTGTATCTTACAACTTAACTTTAGATTGGTTTACAACTTTTTACGACGGGGCATTTCACGGCTTAGAGACGGCACCGACGTGAAGAATGTAAAAAAGAATGCGCATGAATCTCCACGCAGGTGTTTGCAGAGGAGCACTTGCAACGCGTAACTTGTAGTTTAGGGTAGTTAAACCACCAGATATGTGAACACCAATATCCTTGTAATGGTACAACGAAGACCGCTGGGGGCCCCTAGGCTTAAAGTACGATCACGCACGAACATGCCGCAGTCCAGCACGTAAGGCAGTCACTGTCACACTCGCGTTGGCACAGCGGTAATCAGTCGGAAAACAACAACGTCGCGGCTTACAAGCCACAGTCGGGCCAGGACCACGACCGCAACTGTGCCATGCTCGCGTTGGCACAGGGGGAATCAGTCGGCAACAACGTCGCGGCTTACAAGCCACAGTCGGGCCAGGACCACGACCACAACTGTGCCATGCCCGCGTTGGCACAGGGAGAATCAGTCGACAACAACGTCGCGGCTTACAAGCCACAGTCGGGTCAGGACCACGACCGCAACTGTGCCATGCCCGCGTTGGCACGCGGGGAGTCAGTCGTTAACTACGTCGCGGCTTACAAGCCACAGTCGGGCCAAGACCACGACCGCAACAGTGCCATGCTCGCGTTGGCACGGGGGAATCAGTCGGTAACAACGCCGCGGCTTACGAGCGGCAGTCCGGCCAGGACTACGACCGCAATCAGCAGTTCCCAACTCATCAGAACGTCACGAGGGGGCGGTGGAGCCGCATCCCGCCGCCCGGCAGCCGGCTCACGCCGCCGTGTCCTGCGACCGGTGCGCCCTCCGGTGCGTGCTCAGGTGCACCGCCTGCGTGAACGCCTTCGGACACTGGTCGCACGCGAACGGCCGCTCGCCCGTGTGCGTGCGCATGTGCTCGCGCAGCTTGAAGGGCCCGGCGCAGCGCCGGCCGCACACGGCGCACACGTGCGCAGCCGCCGTCGAGTGCATCTGCCGCTCGTGCTTGCGCAGCACGCCCGCCTCCTTGAAGCGCTTGCCGCAGTGCCGGCAGCCGTGCGGCCGCTGCGCGCTGTGCGACACTTTGTGGCGGGCCAGCGACACGAGCGTGGCGAACGTGACGCCACACACCTCGCAGCAGCACGTCTTCTCCCCGCCGTGCGTGGCGCGGTGCTGCTCCATCTTGCTGCGGTAGAAGAACGCCTTGCCGCACGTGTCGCACGCGAAGCGCGCCGCTACTGTGCCGTGCGTCTGCAGGTGGCTCATGAACGCCGCACGGCCGCGGAACCCCTTCCCACACGTGTCGCACGTGAAGGGTCGCGCGCCCGTGTGCACCCGCATGTGAACGCGCAGCGTTGACGCCTGGCGGAAGGATCGCTCGCACGTGGTGCACTGGTACGGCCGCTCGTCGGTGTGCGTGCGCATGTGCGCGCGCAGCTGCGCCGGCCCGGCCAGAGGGCGCGAGCACAGCGGGCAGGGCACGGGCGGGCGAGGTGTCTCGTGCTGCCGGCGGTGATGCTGCAGGCCCGATGGGTGTCGGAAAACCTGGACAGAGAGGTCACGGTAACCATATAGAAACATGAAACCGGCCACACTGAGGCGTCAGAGCATACATATTTAGAGGGTATAAAGTCAGAACTTATTGTTTGGAAAATATCTAGAACCATCAAATGTTACGTAATATTTTTAAACGTTGTACACAAGCCACATCGGGGATATACGACCATGAGGTTATTCTCAAATTAACATCACACAGCGGGTCACATCAAGAGTAGTGTAGAATCTGAGAGCAAGGGAGTTGAGATTTTTTGGTGGTCGAGAAAATCCGACAGGGGTCCCTCTCCCAGCACTGTTGCGGATGTTTCCCGTTTTTATTGTACGGAACTACTAATGCGAGGAGTCGCAGCTTTATACAAGCTATCAGTCACACGTCTCCACGTCATGTTGCACACATTCCGAGGCAAAAAGCTACGCCACATGAGCATGCCAATAAACCCGGCAGGACAGCGAGCTGTAGTGCTCCCACATAGTGCTCTACCAGCTCCGCCACGCCGGTGCACCCCGTCCGCGCCGGGCGGCTCACCTTGTCGCAGAGGGGGCAGGGCCAGCCCTCGCCGTGGCCGCGCTGGTGGTCGACCAGCCGTCGCTGTGAGGCGAACTGACGGCCGCACTCGGCGCACTGGTGCGGCCGCGCGCCCGTGTGCACGCTCAGGTGCGTGTCCAGGTCGCGCCAGCGCTTGTAGGAGCGGCCGCAGTGCGGACACGTCTTCGGCCCGCTCCTGGTGGTTCGGTTTGGCCGGCGCGCGGTCCCGACCGTCGGCCAGGCCGCGCTGGGCACCATGGCAGCCTCCTCGGTGGCCGGTTCGCGAGCCGGTTCAGGGCACTCAGGCTCCGCGTCCGTCGGGGAGGGGGGCTCGTCCGGAGACTGGTTGCTATTGTCCTGCCGTGGAATAGAACCATCCACCTGACGAACACACAAAGTGCCAGTGGTTTTAAGAAATAGCATCCCAGAGGCAAGTCATGCGTAACAGGTTAAGGTGCCTGATGTGTTGCACAGTTCCGTCATACACCTATTAAGTCTGGAGAGCAGATGGAGCCAAACAGGATGCAAACATGACTTTTTATCAATTCTTGCATAGAGTTGGCACCACATTTTCTGTTACCTGTGCATGTGCCTTGACAAACTTAGTTGTCAGCTCCATTTGCAGCATGTCAGCATCATTCCACAGCTGATCAAGCTGAAGAACAATTTGCTGACAGGAGAAGCACACCACATGCTCTGGGAGCAATGGCAGCAGGCAGCCATCCAGGCTTGCACACAGTTGCTCAGCCAAGGGTTTGCCAGATGGCATGCAGATAGTCTCCAGAGCTGGCAGGCTCCCTGGAGAAACAGCCTCACAAACAATGCAGGTGGCATCAGGCATTTGCTGGCTCTGCTCTTGTTTGATATGGTCCTGAGGACAGATAATAAATATTAGTGATGATCCAGATGGTATCAATGATGCTACTTCTTTCTGTGAAAATGACATGGAACATGGCTCTATTGTATGTGCATACACATTCCCCCAAAGCAGGAACTGTGATGTAGCCCAGTTGTGTGCTAAGTTAACTCTGACAGTGAGCAGCAGGGGTCATTCAATGCTACCTCCATTGTAAATATCCCTTTTCCCCTTATCAATGTTTTCCTTGCAGGCAGGTACATTTTGAAGGTAGCTATCATAATTAACTGCTTTTGTCTTCTGCTAAGTCACTGTTCAAAACAGTGAAGCATCGAATTGTAGTGTTTGAGCAAATACTCCGCACACACCTAGCACTCAACAACTAGTGAATGAAACCTAACATGAAGTTAATCAAAGACTGATCCGTTCTATGGAGAAATACTAATTTACCATTTATTTTACAAGGTAATAAGTACCTTCAAATCCATCGAACCAAATCCAACTCCTGTTGTGGAATTCATCGATGGTTGGCGGCCGTTCTCTTACGAGCTCACACAACTCAGCACAAGTGGCAGGGCGACAGGCCCCCGGCCTTCCAGCCAACGTGCGGAGGGTCAATGAACAACATTGTGGTCCGGTTGGTAGCGGTACGTGAGCACCCGTGTAAATAGGCTTAGTATTCTAAACCAGCAAGCTAAAAAATCATGAATTATTTTTTAGTTGTCAAAATAATAATTTAAGTAATAAATTTGGAGCACAGTTTTGATATGTCATACCATGGGATAGCCTGTTTGCAAAACTGCACCTTTGGTTACTGAAATGATCCTCTCAGAACAAAGTTGGCCGCCAAGATACCGCCAAAGAAGCTGCCAAAACCAGCCAAGGAAGACTGCGCAATCAGCTGTAGAGGTGCGCCACAAATGTACGCACGTCGATTTCCATCAATATGCTCACTACTTTGACTTTACTTCAGAGTGGTCGAGGTGTGTGAGGGCTGTGTCCGGTTTGACGGCCTTGGGTGCGGCGGGAGCCGTCGTGGGTGCGCTGATGGGGTTAACTGCATTGCTGGCTATGATTTCATGAGTGAGTTATTATTTTTGTTTGGTTTGTTTGAACCTGTAAGCCGCTCGCTAGCTGCTTTGTTTCATGACTGTCGGGATTCCATAGCCTTTGCTTTCTGCCGTCTTCATGTATGATTTTGTCCCTATTCATGGATAAAGTGAAGTGCCCTTGGTGGTTTATTCCATTATTTTAGTCTGCACCTGTATATAGCAGACAAAGGGTTGAAATGTTTGAGTACTTTAAGTGGGATCACACTTAAAGCTATGTTCAGGCTGGTGAGCAGGTGATGGTTGATTCTACATGTGCAGGACAGCATGACCCATAAATCCCCAATCTTTCATATCTTGGGTCTAAGTAATGCACATTTACAGCATGTTATTTGATGCACAGACCAAATGTCCATTGTTTATGCATATAACAGTACTTTGTGTTATGCAGGGACCTATCAGATCTGGTATGTGCCTTCTTCATGTGATAAGAATGTGCCTCGGGTCTAAAACCACTTGCAGTGAACATGACACTCATTATACCAGAGATGTCATCCAGAAATCACACACAGTGACTAAAAACATGGTGCTGGCATGTGGGCAGTTGCTGAAATATGCTTTGAAATATTAGTTATTTTATCAGTCAGTCTGATTTTGCTTCATATTGCATGGCCCAGATAGCCTTAGTATATCATTCAAAGGGACCTTTATTTGTGCTCATGAGTGGAGATGAAAATCCCTGATTAAAATCTAGTGTAAGTGAAAAATATTGGTGGCTATCAAGGTAATTACACAGCATGGCTACCAAGTGATATTATTTAATATCTTATCTCCCAGCCATGTTATCAAATGGTATTACATTGATAAAGATTATCATAACACAAGCAGGGCAGTGATATCAATATATTTACTCTTCCATTCTTTCCAGATGGTGATCAGGATGCATCATGGAGACTGAGGTTAATGTTCCTTCTTTTGAACTTAGCTCCAATAATGCAGCAACTATTCCAGCCCAAGAAACCATTGCTGGAAGTGAAACTACAACTGTAACTGTAGGAAGTGGTGCCAATGATGTGGGTGTATCAGTACAAGATCTTAGTCATTCCAGCACTCCACCAGAAGAAGTGATTGATACTGCCACATCTTCAGATAGATCTGCATGCATAGTTATACCATCAACAGAAATGGTTGCTGAAGTGACTCCATCAGATGCTGCCATTCTTTCACTGTCAGATGAGGCAGCACCATGCATCAAGTCTTCAGAACAGCTGTCTACTACTGCAAACCATTCAGACAAGCAGTCTGCTATAACTTCATCAGCTGTTGAACCACATTGCCATGCTAGTACATTAGAAGTCATTACTTCAAATGCCAGTGCTCTGAACACATCTGCCCCAAGCCCCCCTTTGCCAAACATCTCTGCTCTGAATACGCCTCCCCCAGACAACTCCCCCCCAGACACGGCCCCCGCCAGCCCATCCTCTCAACCCCCAGATTCCCCACTGCACACCTCCACCCACCTCTCCAATGGTGGTGCACTGGCATCCCCCAATGGCACCTCAGAGCTCACTGAGGTGGACCTGCTGGACGACGATGCCGGCGCCGCAGCCGGCCGCCACCTGGCCGTCTGCGGCGGCGGCAGCGACGCGGCCAGCAGCGGCGGCAGCAACGCGGCCAGCGACGCCGCCGGTGCCTCCAGCCCGCTCTCCGAGCCCAGCGACGACTTCCCGGGCCACGCTGGTGGCGGCGAGTTCTTCAACGGCCCGGGCGGCGGCGGCGCCGGCGGCGCGGTGCCGGTGCGGAACGGCGTCAGGGTCGACGTCGAGATGGAGGCGCGGCTCTTCAACCTCACCGACAAGGTGGCCGCGCTCACCGAGGAGAAGACGATTGCCGAGGACAAGCTCAAACGGTGAGAGGGGCGGTAGCGTGCCGGTGGAGCTCACCGTGCTTGTGTGGCATTGCATGCGGTCATTGCTGTAGATGTGTCCCAGGATAACAGTTAGTAGTGGTACATTTGTATGGACTTTGTCGGAATTTTGCATAGAAATTTGTGCAGGTAGTGTAGCTGTCAACTTCATTGTTCTGGTGGAGATGGGTATATGCCTATGCATGAACACATTCAAAAAAATTCCGTGAGTGCGTCGAGGTTAATGCAAGGTACAGCTCAGATTGCCTCCAGTGGTCGTGTGCTAATGGGAAAGGTTCTGAGTGTCATACTGAGATTATTTCTTCATTGAATGGTTTGTGTGGATCCCTGATAAAAAGGAGCAAGCTGTTTAACCTGCAGTTACACACGATCTGAGAGCAATCAGTCCATCCTCATATCTTAACATTTTTCAAGATACCACCTTGTGGTTATGGTATCATTAGTAGTTTCATTACCTTCGCCTCATATATAAAAGCATAGGCCTTCATTGAACATCCATGCCCTTTTCTGACCTTGAATCAGATCGTGCGCCTATGCCCGCGTGGCGTTTGCTCGTATCTTTATGGCACGGCTATTGACCTGAGGTGAAGCGTGGAGCGCGTGTCGATACCAGGAGCCAGCTCACAAGAGGCCTGTCTCGGCTCATTCCGGTTCGCAGTAAACGCGCTGGTAGGCATTACTGTTATCAGCAGCAGCTTTGGAATGGCAGCGCTAAGCGGTTCGGAATTTGTGCCTGAGGTTTTCCCACACAGCAGAAAACTGCGACGTCTGCGGCTTGTGGCATGACCGGTCTTGGTCCGCGTTTTCCACACGGGATTTTTGTCGCCGCAGGCCAACTTTATCGGTGGTTCATGGCTGCTGCTCGCCAGGTGGACTCCGATGCGTGCACATTTTTGACACGGGAAACGTACACCCTTCTCTGTCGCCGTGCGCCGGATTTCCGGTGCTGGAAGACGCTCTCCAGGCTTTCGTCTGGCTTAAATGAATTTTCATCGTGAAATTGGCAGCTGAAGGCATCGTTCGCAGCTTAGCAATCCACTAGATTATTATTTGCAGCGTGCAGTCCCCGTCTTGCCATGTATCGCGGCGTATACATATATATATATATATATATATATATATATATATATATATATATATATATATATATATGTATGTATGTATGTGAGTATGCGTGTGATGTACATATGGTGGTGGGCATTACGGGTATCATCAGTAGCTTGTGAATCATAATGCTGAGCAGGTTCGGAATATGCTCTCGAGTCATTTCTACACATAGCATGAAACTGGGATATTTGTGTGCTGCTGAAGATACGTGTGCGTGCGTGTTTATATGCAGCCCCAACAATATGTGTTGCGCGTGTGATGTACGAGTGCGTGCGGGAGCTGCCAGTACTGGATGGTGTTCCTGGTTTTAGGCCTGGCCGACTCGCGATAGTGCATTCCACTGTCATTGTTATACCATTTTATGTAGCGCCTTAATGCGAAATCTGCGCTATATCAGGGCCTTGCCAGCACACGACAATGACACTTTCATATCTGCGCTCATCAGGGCTGCAAGGGTCGCTGCGGTCTTCAGCGGGCCGTGAAGTAGCGCTACCCCGCCCGCGACGGACCGCTGCTCTCCACCGCGGGTCTTGACGGCCGGTCCCCTCCCCTTCTGCGCCACAGAGCCGCGCCTTCCGCGCGCTCAGGGAATGGCGCGGCGCCGCTGTACCCGAGACACCCGTCCCGCCCCTGACGTGCGCCCCTGACGCGTACGCGGCCAGTGCGCCCGTGACACGCCCCTGGCGCCTGTGCGCCCCCCCCCCCCCCCCATTAGCCTGTCGTTCGTCCCTGCTGCCGCCGCTCCTGCCCGCCTCTCCGCGACCCTGGCGACCGTCGCGCCCCTGACGCTCGTCCCTGTCGCCGTCGCTGCCGCCCGCCTCCCCCGTCCCTGGCGACCGCCGCGCCCCTGACGCCCGCCCCTCTCTGCAGTCTGCAGGACGAGGTGCTCCGGCTGACCAGCGAGAACGGCCGCGAGCGGGCGCACATCGAGACCCTCGAGCAGCAGCTGTCGGCGCGGCGTAGCGAGCTCGACAACCAGCGCGAGGCGGCCGCCGAGCAGGCGCGCCGCCACCAGGAGGCGACGCGCGCGCTCGAACTCGACCTGACTGGTCGCCTGAACCGGACGCGGGCTCAGTTCGAGGCGGCGCTGCGCGACAAGGACAAGATGGTGCTGCGATACGCGCAAAGCGAGAAGTCGGTGATCGATGCCAAGCGCGAGGCGGCGGCGGCCGACAAGCGCATGAGGGAAGCGCTCAAGGAGAAGGAGCTGCTGCTCAGCAAGGTCAACCACCTCGTGCAGGAGCGCAACAAGATGAGCCAACAGATGGAGACCAAGGTAGGGCGCCATGGAGTGGTGCGTCATCTGTTCTCGGGCCGTTGAGTATGTGTGTTTGCTTGCAGTAAGAACACTTCGATATTGAAATACCTTGCGAATTTAGGTTTATTATGTCGACAATTAAATGGACCCTCAATATAACAGGAGGAACCGGTTAGGAGCCAAGGAAGAACCACTTCAGTCGTCATCTTAATCACAGTTGAAAGGCATCACCACCAAGGTTTCCCTGATAGCAGCACTTTCTTTTGTAAAGATCTGTTGTTGTCAGCATGACAACTCAAACTCAGTGTCACAAAGTCAGGAGCTCAATGCCTTTTTTGCTTAGATGAGTATCCCGAGTGTCGTATTGAAGTTCAAGGAAAGACGCGTTAAAGGGGACACTGCGAGCTCAGAAACAGCAACGCATCAGAGCGCACACAAATGCTCGCGCACGCACACAACCCGTTAGAAACACTTAGGGCAGCCGCTCATTGCGTGATAAAAGGCACCCACCGCGCACGCCTGCAGCACTCGGCGCCCACTATACCGGATGAAGCGTGACCCAAGCTGCCGCTGAGTGCCTCATGCAGCCTTGCCGCGGAGCTTCAGTGGACGTCGTCCCCACCGGCGGGATTGGGGGGAGGGGGGATGGTGTGGTCGCTCTTCCCTCCCAAGCGTGCAGTCGGGTTGTCCTCACGTCATCGTCGTCTTGTGAGCTTCGCGACCGCTTCTTCGTGAGAGGACTTGCACGTTGTGTGTTGGCTGCAGGCACACTGCAGTGAACGTAACCGAGCCGTGCTGCGACCTAACGGCATGCGTGTGGCGCTGTGGCAGATCCAGGAAGCCAAGGGCCTGACGCGCGACTCTGGCAAGATGAAGGAGGAGATCGAGTCCAGGGACGTGCGCATCAAGTGGCTGCAGAACAAGATGAAGCAGGAGGCAGACGGCTACAAGGTGGGGTGGCTGTTTTGCGCTGCACCGGCTTTGCATGGAAGGAGAGCTGTTTTAGATTTACGCTGCGGGTGAAATTCCTTGAACCGAGAAATTTAATGCCGGCGTTTATCAGTGGACAGTTTTCCCCGCCTCGATTTTCGAATGTCACCAGAACTTGTCAGTGAGGCTACACTAGATGTTTATAAGTTCAGCCACTGGTATTTATTTCCTCACTCAAAAGTTTGACGACTCAAAAGCTCGTTTCTCTCGTGAAACTAGGGGTTCGCAGCCCAGTGATAAGTTGTACACGATTGGCAATGATATACACCTTTTTATCCCTTCCCTCGAAACCCAACGTGCTTTGACAGGCGGTAATGACGCCTTTTGTCGTATCTCATGCCCCAATATCAGCGACGTGGGGACAGCGAAGGCATGCTGCGGCGGTGGTCGACACGGCCTGTAACGCCGCCCTCCCCACCGGCAGGACGGCCAGCTGCGGATGGAGACGCTGCTGCGCGAGCTGCGCGAGGCCCAGGAGACGATTCGGCAGTATAAGCTGACCGAGGACTCCCGATCCACCGCGCTGGGTCAGTGGACGGCCGGCGCTGGCGGCGGCCAGTCCGGGCTGCGGGTGTCACGGCCTGCCCTAGTTACCTAATCCGCTAGATGGACGAGATGCTGCGCGAACTCTCGAAGTCGATATGCCCGAATATCTCAGATCATTCTCGCATAGGCGTGAGGCTTAGTTTATTTGACAGATTAACATTGACGATCTTTTCCGGAAATTGTACCCGAGCTCAGAGGGACAAAGTTCGTTGGTCACATAACCTTTCATTTGTCGTCGTCCGACCCCACTAAGGGCGTCACGCTCGTTCCTTGTGACGTGACCCTAGTCACGACGCCGTGGCGCGCCAGTGCCCCTGTCACAGGGCGGCGGCGGTGACAGGCCAGCGGCTGGCACGGGCCGCGCCGTCGGTCAAACCCTGTCAGCGCGGCGCGTGCGGCCGCGTCAGCCTGCCGCCGGCCTCGTGACGGCGTGACATTCGCCGTCGGCCGTCACGCTGTCCGATCGGCGCCCTGTCAGTGCGCCCCTGGTGTGAGCCGTTCACTGCCATTGTGAGCGGCGATGAAGGCGGCGGTGCTGAACGTGCGGCGCCCCTCAGTGCTGAGCTCGCGCGACCTGATGGCATGTGATGCTTTGACCTCGTGTGATCATCAGCCGTGTGGTGACCCGACGCCTGGCGGCGCACTGCCCCATGGTGACCTGACCCAGCGTGGGCCGGGGTTCTCTGATGACCTGACGCTGGGCGACCTGGGCCGCACAGACAAGGAGCTGCGCGAGGAGAAGGCGCGCCGCCTGGTGGAAGAGAAGCTGAAGCAGGACAGCTCGCACAAGGAGCGGGCGCTGGCGGCCCAGCTGCAGGAGCAGCAGGAGCGCTGCAGCCGACTGGCGCAGGACTGCGCCCAGCACCTGGAGAGGGTCAGTCAGGGGCAGGCTGGAGAGGCCCAGTGGGGTGACCTGGAGAGAGCCAGTGGGTTGACCTGGAGAGGGTCAGTCAGGGGCAAGCTGGAGAGGGCCAGTGTCGTGACCTGGAGAAGGGTCAGTCAGGCACAGGCTGGAGAGGCCCAGTGAGGTGCCCTGGAGAGGGTCAGTCACGGACGGGCTGGGGAGGGCCAAGGGTCTGTCAGGGACTGACTGGAGAGGGCCAGTGGAGGTTGCCTGTAGGGAGTTACAGGGTCCCTGTCCGTCTGTGCGGCGCTCTCTACCGACCGCCGCAGTCTGCCGTGCTCAAGCCTGCCCCCATGTGTCCCTGTCCGCCAGGCGCTGGCGGCCGAGTCGGCCCTGGAGCCGACGGAGGCGGCGCGGGCGCGGCTGCAGCAGGAGGTGGCCGCGCTCCGGCACCAGGTGGAGACGCTGCTGCAGGACTCGGCCGAGCTGGACGAGACCAGAGCCACCCTGGACAGGTGAGGCGCCCGCCCTTGCCCCCGTGTGCAGCCGCCACCGTTCTGGATTCATCGGAAGGCGGGCGGGCCGCGTAGAACTTCGGGACGCGTTGCCCCGGTCGAGTTTTGACGTGGCAGATGGTGTGGGCTGGGTCATGTAAGCCAGGTCGGCGCCGCTGATCCCGCCCAGCTGCCGGATGCGTCTCATGAGACATTTAGTACGCGTCTTATGTGCCTCTGTAGAGGATTCGCGCATCATTCGCCAAAACATGTATCAAAACAATCGCTGCCAGGTTATTCAAGGTATTCCTTCACAATGAGTGCCACTCCGGCCTGGAAATGTTGTCGGACACGCTTTTTCCTTTCTGCGTAATTGTGTGTTAGAACTGCAGCTGATTTGTTCTAAACCGCGTCCCTTGCTACTGTGATGTTTTTCTTAGAAGCTTCACCGTGGCAGCGCTCTTTCGTCACCTCCCCTGATTTCGCCCCTACACTCCTGTCCGCCTGTGCGCGGCGTGGGGCGTCGCCAGCGGCTGTACTGACGGCGCGGTGGGCCGGCAGGGAGCGCGAGCGCCTGTCCGCCTGCCAGGCGGAGGTGGCCGCCCTGCAGACGGCGCAGGCGGACCTGCAGGCCGACCTGGACGGCTGCCGCGTTAAGGAGGCCGACCTGCTCGACTTCACGCAGAAGCTCACGGAGAAGAACGTGGAGCTGCAGTCGCAGATCTCAGGGTTCCAGGCCCGGGTGGGTGTCGGCGGCGCCGCAGAGACGTGCCTCGGCTCATCCGGAAGCTGCACAAAGCAAAACTGTTGTTAACCTGACGTGTGTACTTGTAGCTATGCTCAGCGCTCCGTGCTGATTACGATGTAGATGTTATACTCAACGTGTGTGTATCTCAGCTTACGTTACACACGCTGCGCTATCACCCACGTTACTGAATACGATAGGTTTAAAGCTGACATTGCCAGCCAGAGTCAGAACTTTGTTTAGCCACGCCAAAACAGCTCTTCTGTGGTCTCACGCCGCTTTCGGTAGGTAGGTTCAAGTCCGGTTCCGCTGGTTTGACGCCCCGCCTGGTGCCCGTGGCCGGTTTGGACGCACCCGTTTGACCCTCGTGACCCCTGCCCCGACAGTCCGAGGCAGCCGACTTCGAGTCGCGCGAGTTCAGTTCGCAGCGAGCCGAGCTGGAGGCGCGACTCGCCGACGTGACGTCTCGGCTCGCGCGCGAGCAGGAGGCGCGTGGTACCGACAATCAGGTGAGCGGCACTGGAAATCACATGAATACCGACAATCCGGTGCAGTGTCAACAATGGGTGTAGTGTTGACAATCGGGGGTAGCACGGACAATCGGGTGCGGTACGGGTACCGGCAGTCTGGTGTAGTGGCCATAATCGGGCATAGTACCGAATACTGGGTGTAGTGCGAACAATCAGTTGTACCACCAACAATCGGATGTAGCACCGATAATCGGGGGCAGCACCGACAATCGAGTGGACAGCGCCGACAGCTGAAGAGTAGTACCGATAGTCAGCTGAGCAGCGCGGCCACTAAGGCGATCAGCACCGGCCATCAGCTGAGCGGTGCGGCGACTCCGGCGAGCCCCGCCGGCCCTCACCGGGTGCTGCCCCGTCCGCGCCTCCTCGGCAGGCCGACGGTGCAGGCCCCTCCTGCCGACCTGCCCCAGCCGTCAGTCCCGCCACCACCGACCCGGCGCGAGGGATCACTCGCACGCGCCGGCTACCTCTGGTGTCGCGCTGATCTTGGCGTAGGTGCCTGCCCCGGGGGGGGGGGGGGGGGGGGCGGACGGGGCTCGGTTTGGCAGGGTTGGTACTGACGTCAGGCCGCGGCGGTGTGTTTCCGACTCCCCGCCTCGCTGCCAGCAGGTGCCCAACTGTTTGGCCCTCGGAACGGCTTCAAGTGGTGCCGTCAGCGCCGGGCCGCCCGCGGATGTCAGTGGGTTCGCGGAAGTGTCACGCTGCGTTGCCGCTTTGTTTCGCTTCTTGTCTGCCTGATGTGTTAACACCGCGCGGCACGTGGTCTGTGTGGTGGCGTGTTTGACCGGTCACGCTGGTGGTCGGTGTGTCCGCCGTCCGGTGCTGGCATCGCTGACCTGATCTGACCCGATCCGCGCGCACGGTGACCTCTGTATCTACCATCGCGCCGTCCGGGA